GGGTAACTGCAAAGACTCCCTTTTGTGCTTCGCACACGGGAGTCAAAAAATGAAAATAAGAAGTGTTTAAATACCCTTGCAAATATTAAATACAATTTTTAGTTGATGCATGATTCTACTATTACATTTATTTGAAACTATCAACATTGGTAACAACATTATATTTATATATATACAATAATAAATGTACACATATTATCCTAAATGTAGGAGCTTCTTAAAACAGCACATACAAATATTGGAAGTATTGTATTTTCAGAAACTATTGCTGCTGTATTTGTTAATTACAGGATGAACAGCCCTGTTCACTTTAAATTGGCAGCAATAAACACACAGGTGGTAGTTAAATAGACAATAACATCAAAACAATACATGACAATGGAAAGTTTACTGGTCATAAAAACTTTGTTAACCTCAACATTCAACTGTTCATTCAACTTTGACCTATCGCTGTCAAAATACAACAGGAGCAAAGTACTTTTTTTTTTTCATTATTTATTTTTATTAACTATTTTAGCCATGACTTTCAAAGGTAGACAATCCTCCATATGCTTGGATCAGACCATTTAATACAGGGGGGCTTTAACCTTGGTCACATGGACTCATTTTTGTTTCTCTCCGACTTTCCTTACTAAGCAGTCAACAGCAAAGGAAAATACATTTCTGTTTTGTGTAGAATTACACATATATTAATATTAATTTCTATAACTATAACTTAAATAGATTTGCTCTCTTCTAATTATTATATTTAATTGGAAAAATATTGGAAAAATTCAATTTTAATTATAAACACATGTGTGTTTTCTGTAATGTCAAAGCAAGTTACAAGTTATTTTATAGTACATGCTTTTGTGTAAATAAACAGCACATTTTTAAACACCCAGATCCCTATAAAATGCACATGACCTGACAAGCTGATTTGCCTGTGACTGACACACCCTAAAGTACAGAATCTAAATTATGCAGTTTTGGGAATGTTTTGTGAAATATCTGATGAAATGAATTGGATTCCCTGTTACTCATATTGTAGTTAGCAAGAATTAGTAACAAGCAGATCTGGGTGAATCCATGCACAAAGTAACATTATTCAAATGCCTTTAACAAAGAAAATTTGAAAACCAAATGATTGTCACAATTACTGCATATCTTGAATCAGAATTGCATTTTAAGATTTACTAACACACTAATCGTATATCGTAAACATAATTTTATGTCAGGATGTGCGATTACTGTGAAATACTTTTCGCATGGAATTAATTTTCGTCATTTTCGCTGAAGGAATGATGCAGTGAAAATAAAATCCAGCGAATATACCATTTTTCCTATATACCTCAAAAGTCTTTTCAGTGAAAATTAATTTCAGCTAAAATAAAGTATTTTACAGTAGTTTGATAGTAACTGAACTATTTTTTTTTTTTAATTACAAATTTGAAATTTGGCTCATTTTTAATTTAAAATGGTAACCAGGATATGGAGAAGTAATGTTTCCATGGAATAAAAACCTTGTCCCTTTTTTTTTAATTTTAATTTTGTCATTAAACTGTGGCACTTTTTAATATTCTGCATACATGTACTATCTCTGAGAAATCACTTTTCACCACCAGTTCATTCTTTTCATCACAAATTCACAAAATATTCCAGTTTGTTGTCTGCACATTCCTTCAGAAGATTGGGACAAAAATAGCCAAATTGTTTTAGTAAAAACTGATAATTGACTCACATTTTGTCGGTTGGCTCCAAAATTAGGGTTTATTTCCAGAAAAATTGAAGAATATAAGAAAAAAAGTGAAGAAAAAAGGTTTGGTGACAAAATCTGGTGGTGAAAAGATTAGGATGTAAATTGTCACCTGCTACAAAGTTAATAGGACATTGCCCTCTCAATGAATGAATATAAACATTTTGTAAATGGCGCCCTCACAGGTTGTAAAGTAATAACTGACTGAACTACAAGTTACTGTCCAAAGCAAAAATAACCAATCAGATTGTAACATTTTT